AATAACATTTTTTACAATTTTTGTCTGTCTGTCTGTCAGTCTGTTTGTTCCGGCTAATTTCTGAAATGGCTGGACCTATTTTGACGGGACTTTTTTTGGCAAGTGGCTGATGTAATAAGGTGTAACTTAGGCTATTTTGATTTTAGAAAAATTCTTTCATTTTAGAAAAATAAAAATAAATTGCACGCGGACGAAGTCGCGGGAACAGATAGTATATAATCATAACATAGTATAAAATAAAGTCGCTGTCGCTGTCTGTCCTTATGTATGCTTAAATCTTTAAAACTTCGCAACAGAATTTGAAGCGGTTTTTTAATAGATAGAGTGATTCAAGAGGAAGATTTTTATATATAACGAAACGAATATGGCGAAACCGGGGCGAGTAGCTAGTTTTTTTTATAAAAATAACCTAATGCAATGCACAGAATGCTGTCTAGTCCCAAGATAAGCAGAGCTTAAATAAAAAATAATTTAATATATTTTTTAAACAACAAACAATCAAATTAATACTTAGGATTTATTACTATTTTTATATTATACATAGAAAACACTCAGACCAATACAAACAATCATACTCATGAAAATTAATATTTGCATCGAGGAATCGAACTGTCGACCATAGATAATGTCCGTTTAAAAAACAACTCTATTTACATAGCTATACAATACACATTTCAAAAGAAACCCATGTATTATTTACTTATTAATATTATAAACGCGAAAATTTGTGATTATGAATGCAATTGTTACTCTTTCACGCAAAAACTACTGAACGGATTTTGATGAAACTTTACAGTAACATAGCTTGTCTCCTGTGTGTCAGACTGTGCATCAGAGTTTGTTATTGACAAATTCCATAGTGGACATTGTCAATACCAAACTCCGATGCACAGTTCAACAATACATTATTTCGACTTTTGGTTTTTATAAAGAATAAATTTATAGCAACTAGCTGTGGAACAATTAGAAGCAGTAATAAAAGTACATAATTGTTGTGTATTCAGAGCCATAAAAATATGTGTCTATGTTTATGATTAATTACCTTGTCTATGGTCTGTCGGTGTGTCGAGTCGAGTCATATAACAAAGAGTTGTCTTGTTAAATATAATCATATATAATAAAGGAGTCATATATAATACATATGCAGTATTATTAATAATATAACAACATATATAGCATAGCATAGTATAGAGCAACGAGCAAACACGAAAATAATAATATCAACTAACTCGAAGATATAGAAATAATAAAAATTATAACGCCTGATCAATACAATTAGCAAAAGCTACGGCTACAATATTGGCTTTAACATAACATCAGAATAACACTATAAATTTCATACAGGAGATAAGTAACGGACACAACTAGTAATCTATATAATCGTATATAAAATTCTCGTGTTACTTGGCATACTCGTCCGAAATGGCTTAACTAATTTCGATGAAATTTTAAACGTATAATCGATAAGTCTGACATTTTTTATACCTCGTAAGTAATATGGAAGGCTCACACAATAAAATTTTTGACAATAAAATTTTTTGGAGGTGGCATCAAAAATACAATTTTTCCCCCACCTACTTACTACCACCAACCCCTATTTTTTTAATAGCGATATTAATTTATATGGCAATACAACGTTTGACGGGTCAACTAGTATTTACATAGTACAAAACAAAGTAGCCGCTATTGTCTGTTCGCTTATATGTTTTAAACTACGCAACTGATTTTAATGCAGTTTTCAGCAATAGATAGAATGATTCAAGGAGAACGTTTATCCTTCAATTCTTGTCCCTGACGGGTCTAAATTAACTTTGGATAAGGGCAAGCACAATAGATCTGTAAGTCGTAGTGCCACAGATCTCAATACATGACAATAGGCCACAACCCTCTGAAACGTTTGTTACCTTTTTTAAAGGCGAGATTATTGAAAAATCAAGCATTAACTGTTATAGTTGATTTTATTGAGAGAAAATACAGTAGCATGTTATCAATGTAACAGGAATAATCTGTTCAACAAACACACCCAACACCAAACAAACAATCTGTGATATTGATCAACCATCATAAAAATAAAAATAAAAAAAAAAACAAATTATATGTAGGTAGTTTGAACTAGAGATCAAGGTAAAATTAAATTATATGTTGCAGTAAATATATGCTTAGGTACAAACAAAAAACATATAACACCCTCAATGAAAAGAAATGCATCCAAAGCCGGGACGAGTAGCTAGTATATATCGTCGCTTGAATAGAAAAATGCCAGTATTCAAAATCTACATTTTTTTTTTCAAGACAAGCATTTCAAGTTTTTTTTTAATTAATTTAAATTATTTTTTCCTTTAAAGTTTTAAATTTACACAGAAGTGTTATATATCATTTTAAAAGTGTTTAGATAATGATTAAGACGGAGTGGTTAATTTAATCTAAATATATAACTCAAAGGTGACTGTCATAGTCATCTATCAATGCACAGCCCAAACCACTGGACGGATCGGGCTGAAATTTGGCATGCAGGTAGATCCGCTAAGAAAGGATTTTGACTAATTCTACCCCCAAAGGGATAAAATAGGGGATGAAAGTTTGTATAAAACTTTGTCAATTTTAAACAAATCGGGCTGAGACTTTGCATGCATAAAGCTACTATGACGTAGGCATCCCCTAAGAAAGGATTTTAATAAATTCCACCCCTAAGGGGATAAATTAACGCCAGCGAAGCCACGGGCAAAAGCTAGTTGACTTATATAAAAGGAGGCAATTCTAGCTTGTAATTTAGAAAAATGTCATTTTTCTATTCAATAGACGATATATAAAAACAATATCAAACCCGTTCAAGCTCAAAACTGGCGAAGATCCAAACACGTGATTTTTTACGACGTGTCTGCGTGTAGCCGTAGCGTTTTACTGGAATGTTACTATTAGGGGGGAATGTAAGTGAAGTTGTTAGTAATCTGAACTGAATACTCCATGGCTAATAATATACCATGTCAAGTTGACCTCCACACAGTTCCCCCTGGAAACCACTGTGATAACTTCTTAGTGATTCTACCACGACGTACTAACTGATCTGACCTCATGCTTATCTTATCCACTGATGCCTCGCCAGCGTAAACCGTTAGCGCAGGTGGGTGCACAATTCCATAATCATCCATAAAATATTTTTTTTTATATATTTTGTTTAGATTTACGAGTACATTCCGTAATAGGTCAGGTCCTTATCTAGTTTTAGGGTCAGATAATTTTCTGTCGCACTTCGACCCACCTCATATTCTGTATTTGTACGTGGGGCATTATTTATAAATAACTTTCAACAGATACTGAAATTCTGATTCTCTCAAAGAATAAAGTCATTTGAATAATATGCTGTTTATTTATATGGATATGCATATAATTGGTTAAATATATAGATGAGCCCGCGGTTTCACGCGCATTAAAATCTATGTGTTATTCACACTTTTTTTAATATCAAAGCTTATAAAAGCCTGTTTCACAATATTTATTATAATATTTATCCTTCACAGTTCACAGACTTCACACAACGCTATCCAGTTCCAAAGAATGAGAAAGAAACGTGTGTCAATTCAAAAGTGAATAGATGTTTTTTCTTATATATATAATTACATAATACTCTAATAATTATGACTGATTTCCTCTTATTAATTGTAGTGTATTCAATATTATTTCTATTTGATTATTTAATTGAATTAGTGCTAATCGGTAGTTTGTATTCACACACTTAAACTTAAATTGTAAAGTAAGGATAAATCTATTTAAAAGAGCAACACATAAGTTTCTTGTTCGTTCTTCTTGTGATGTACAACTTTCCGAATGAGCGGTAGATAAAAAAAATGTGAGGACTATTCAAAAGTACTTCAATGTAAGTTTATTTCAATAAATGATTTTCTATTCTATTCTACACAATAACACGATTTATTTATACATTAAATAAATATGTATACATTTTATTTCTCTAAAAAGCTAGCCTATGTCCTTTCTCAGGCCTAAACTATCTATGTACCAAATTTCATAGAAATCGGTTCAATAGTTTTGATATGAAAGCGAAATAAACTGACAGAGAGACAGACAGAGTTACTTTCGCATTTATAATATTATTAAATCTAAATAGAAATAGAAATAATCTTTATTCAAATAAACAAGCACTTTTGAGTCATATTTTTGATTCTACCACTCATTAGGAACGCAGACTCAACACAAGAAGAATGAGCAAGAAACTTGTGTTTTGCTCTTTAGAATAGAAGTTTTTTTATATAAATAATTACAGAATTACAATATTCATTTATACGTCATATAAATAAGTGTAGATTTTATTTCTCTAAAAACCCTATGTCCTTTCTCAAGGTCTACACTAACTGTGTACTAAATTTCATATAAATCGGTTCAGTAGTTTTGATATGAAAGCGAAATAGGCTTATAGCACAGATAATATAACATTACATACTTATAGAGAGACAAATAGAGTTACTTTTGCATTTATAATATTAGTAAGTTTTATTTATACGTCAAATAAGTACACATTTTATTTCTCTCCTTGACTAGGCCCGGTTAGGGTGGTGAAATGATATCACGTTGTGGACTGTATGATTATGTATTTTAGAATATATATATTACAAGTGTAAGAAAGTGAGAAGTGCGTGCGGTGCCCGATGCACGGAATGGCCGAGTGAGGTGTCGCGGCAGATCGGGCTCGCTGCCGGCTCGGATGCCCCGCGGCGCCCGCAGACCCCGCAGCCGTACTGTCGTCGCTTGCGCGCCAACAGACTCCCGGGGTTGAAGTGATGTCTTCAATGCTCAGGAAGAGGGCAGATGCAGTTGAAGGCACGACGAATGGTGCCCTTCTTCGTCTTGAGTTCGGCCACCCTTGTGACGCCGTCCACGCCAGGGTAGATCTTTACGACCCGACCCAGGCACCACAGTAGCGGAGGTGCTGTCTTGTCCTTGATCAGGACGAGAGCTCCAAGTTTCACCTCGTCTGATGAATGGAATCATTTTGTTTTTGCCTGAAGTATGGAAATGTATTCATTATGAAATCGTCTCCAGAAATGTTGTCGTATGTGCTGAATTCTACGCCATCTGTCCAGTCTCGAGAGGTTGACGTCAGTGTCAGTCACCTGTGGTTGTGGCACAGATAGGAGTGGCCGTCCAATTAGGAAGTGTGAGGGTGTAAGAGCCGAAAAATCATTAGGATCCGATGAAAGGGGGGTGAGAGGGCGACAATTTAGAACTGCTTCTATTTGAATGAGACAAGTTGTCATCTCTTCATAGGTAAAATGAGTTAATTTTAATATACGTCTTAGGTGATGTTTAAAGGACCTTACGGCAGCTTCTGCTAATGAATTAAAATGAGGAGAGTAGGCAGGCGTGAAAATAAATTCGATGCTCTGCTGTGCCGTTTCAGATGCGACATTCGAGGTACGCAAAAACCTTTGCATTTCATTGGATGCGCCAACGAAATTCGTACCGTTGTCGGATGTAATACTTCGAGGCTTACCTCGACGTGCCACAAACCGATTTAAAGCGGCCATATAAGCCTCGGTGGTGAGATCTGTGACGAGCTCCAAATGTACAGCTTTCACTGCAGAGCAAACAAAGATGCACATATACGATTTTGAAAGTTTGCTCCCGCGGCCCTTACGATTAGCTATCAATACTGGTCCAGCATAGTCAACATAACAATGTAGAAATGGGAATTCAAGTTGTGTCCTAGCTAACGGCAGCTGACCCATTATAGGCTGGACATTTTTAGCCTTATGTCTGAAACAAGTAACACATTTCTTTACAATTAATTTAGACAAATTTCTGCCTCCTAGAGGCCAGTAAGTATGACGAATGTGAGACAATAATAATTGAGGACCGGCGTGGAGTAATTTAATATGCTGCATTTGAAATATAAGTCTTGTCAATTTATGTTTGCTGCATATAACTATAGGATGTTTCATGTTAAAGTCGTAAGGGGAATTGTCAAGTCTTCCGCCCACGCGGATAATGTTATCATTATCTAAAAATGGTGTCAAAGCAAGTAGTCTACTTTTGTGTGGCAATGTCTGACCAGATTTTAGAATTTCAAATTCGTTTGGAAACATATCAATTTGTGACATATGTAAAATATAAATTAATGACTCTTGCAGTTCTCTCGTAGAGAGATTGCCGCACAACTTGTTACTATTATGTTTTAAATTATGAATAAATCTTTGTATGTATGCTACTATTCTTTGTATTTTAGTTAAGCTTGAATGATTTTCTAATAAATGTTGTATCAATAATGAATGAGTGTTATTAGATGATGAATTACTACATGATTGATTGTCACTACTAATAAAATGAGTTACTACTTCCGGCAAATCATGTTTCGTTTTGTTTGGCATTATTGGCCACTCATTTTCATTTTTAAGTAAAAACGAAGGTCCGGATCACCATAAAGGGGTAGTTCCGATAACGTCGGCCTTTACTCCACGCGAAACAAGATCCGCCGGGTTGTCCTTCGACGGTACGTAGCTCCAGGTATGACCGTATGTGCTTTCTTGAATTTCATGCACTCGGTTTCTAACGAAAGGATTAAGTTGGTTAGCAGGAGTTGACAACCAACCTAATACTATAGTCGAGTCACACCAGAATCTACATTTATGGATAGGTATAGTCAATGATTTTTGAACTTTGATACACAGTCTTGCACCTAACAAAGCTCCACAAAGTTCAAGCCTCGGCATTGTCGTTGGTTTAATTGGCGCTACGCGGTTTCTAGAAGCTAGAAGCTGTACACCTATAGAACCACTACCACTACACGTTCTAATGTATAGACATGTTCCATACGCCCTTTCGGACGCATCGGTAAAGACGTGTACTTCGTGAATGATAGAGTCTTCATGCAAAACCCAACGAGGAATCTTTAAACTATTAAGCGAGGACATGCTATTTTGAAATGTAGACCAAAGGTTGCTGATCTCGAGAGATATTTCGTCGTCCCAGTCATATTTCTCTAACCATAAACGTTGCAGAATGATTTTAGCTTCGACTACGCACGGGCCGACGAGTCCCAGTGGGTCAAATATTTGACTTATTACTGCAAGAATATGACGTTTAGTGACCTTATTTACTGAATTAATGTTAATTCTAAAGGTGAGCAAATCCGAATCGCAATCCCAATATAAACCTAGTGTTTTAGATTGAGAAGAGATTAAATGTTGCTCAGAAAATTCTAGGGGTGTATTCATAGTGTCATGACTGTTAGTGAGTTGTGCTAAAATAGTGGGATGATTAGAACGCCACTTACGTAAGTTGAATTTAGCAGAGAAAAGAATAGACTGCACTTGTTTAGCTACCTCGATGGTTTCCGAGATTGTGCTTCCCCCACTTAAGTAATCATCAACATACATATCTCGCTGTATTGCACACTTGACTCGATTATCCTGAATGTCATCCGCCAGACTAGCTAAGCATTTAGTAGCTAAATAAGGAGCGGAAGCGGTACCATATGTAAGTGTGTTTAATGTATAAGTTTTTAGGGGTTCTTTATGGTCAAACCGGAATACAATTTTTTGAAGAGATCTTTGGTCTGGATTCAGTTCTATTGCTCTATACATCTTTTCAATGTCACTCGAAACTACATACCTATGTTGACGAAAACGTATTAAAATGGATAATAGATCGTCTTGAACTACAGGTCCCACCATCTGAATGTCATTAAGTGACGTGCCAGAACTGGTAGGAGCTGATGCATCAAATACTACGCGCAATTTGGTAGTAGCACTAGATTCACGAGTGACGCCATGATGTGGAATGAAGTGAGTGACTACGGTGTCCTCTGTTGAAGTAGTATAGTTTGAATCCAACGTCATGTGACCTAATCGTTCATACTCGCGCATAAACTCCATGTATTTATTTTTAAATGATGGATATCGTTGAAAGCGTCGTTCTAGGGACAAAAAACGAATTTTTGCTGTGTCATAAGAATGACCTAAGGTACTAGGATCGTTTTTTAAAGGCATAGTAACTACAAAACGACCGTCATTTTTGCGATAAGTAGTTGTTACAAAATGCTGCTCACATATTTTTTCTTCAATAGACAAAGAGTGATAAGGTGATATATTATCAAACTCCCAAAATTTAGTAATATCTGGTGAATTTGAAATATTAACATGATTGCAAAACTGTGAGTACGAACATTCCGGTTGTTTAATCCTACCTGAAACTAACCATCCGAATTTAGTTTCACACAATGTCGGTAAGTGTTTGCCTAAATGAATTGAATTATTGCCCAGGACATCCCAAAATACTTCGGCCCCTACCAGAATGTCTACGACCGACGGAATATTAAAATTCGGGTCCGCTAACTGAAGACCTGCAGGGATAGGGACATGCCTGACATGCACAAACGAAGACGGTAAGACCTTTGTAATTTCAGGCAAAATGTGACACTCGATATCAATTTTGTAAGCACAGCATAAAGACTCTATGGTGAGGTTGCAAGACTGTGTACTTATAGATACGTGACTATTTATACCCGTTACCTTGGTGCTCGTACCGCGTTGTGACAAACCCAGTTTCTCCGACAGGCTCTGCGTAACAAAGTTCGCCGTGCTACCGTTGTCCAGCAGTAGACGTGCCGTGCACTTGTTGCCCGTAGCGTTGGTCACGTTCACCAATGCTGTGGAAAGTAGACAATGCGCAGAAGTAGCAAGCTGCATAGTATCGGCTGATAAAGCGACATCATTTGACAGAGAAGGCGATGCAGAAGGCAGAACATGATGAGATGGGATTGTACTATTTATTTCTATATGTAAAAGTGTATTATGTTTAACTTTGCAATATTTGCAATGAGTTAATTTGCAATATTTTGCGTTATGGCCTAAGCGCAAGCAATTTAGGCACACTTTATATTCTTTCGCCTTTTGAATGCGATTTTCTATAGATAAGGCCCTAAAAGATTCACAAGAATATAATGAGTGTGCTTGAGACACAAAGTGGACATTTAATGACAGATTGTTTATTATAAGCAATTGATTTCTTATTATGAGTAATGATAGATTTATTATTATTAGTTTGATTATTTAAAGCGACAATTGAAGTACTGCAATTAATGAAATTTGACTCGACTGACTCCAATAAGTCAGCCCTTTTATTTAAAAATGTACAAAATTGTGATAAAATGGGATCGGTAGCTAATGAGTTTTTGTGTTCCTCCCAGTTACGACTAGTTGTGACGTCCAGCTTTTTTGCCATTATAAAGATGATGAGGGTATCCCAATGATTAGTGGGCTGATTTAGAGTTGTTAGTGCCCTTATATTTTTATTAATGACATCAACGAGACCCCTAAGTGACACACTTGATTCCCTCGATATCTGTTCAACATCAAACAACGCTTGAATGTGATTATTCACAAGGACACGGTTGTTGTTATATCGCTCACACAACAAGTCCCACGCAATTTTATAATGTTCCGCTTTGAAGTCTATATTTTGAATGATTGAAGCCGCGCTACCCTTAAGTGAGGCACGTAAGTAGTGGAACTTGTTGATATCGTCGATACATGCATTGTTGTGAATCAGTGAGATGTATGTGTCCCTATACTCCAACCAGGATTGATAACATCCGTCGTAGCAAGGTAGGGAAATTTTCGGCAAACGAACAAAATTCTGTTTTCTGAGTGCACCTGAATTAGCATCTTCAGAACCCGCCACAGACCCAGCACCGTCGCGCGAAGTCGCCAGTAGGCTGCGAGCGAGAGCCACCACACGAAAGAACTGGCGTTCGAATTCCTCACGGTCGGCCAAAGCGGACTCGGCCTCGGCGTCGTCAGAAAGCACCTCGATGTCGGTCTGTAATGCATCAAAATCGGAATACATGGCCTCGAACCTATTAAAACGCTCCTCCAAGTCCAAACGTTGCAATTGAGATATATCCGCATTACTACTGATTAAATTTAAATAATTGTTAAAAACTGTAATTTTAGACTTCATAGAACTACGTTTTTTAATTAATGTTTTAATAGAATCTGCCATATTAAAGTCTTATGAAATGCTGAAGCCGAAAGAAGGGGCCGAAGGTCGCGTACGGTCACCGACACGTTCAACTGCAAGGTCAATGCATCGTACCGGTTGTTACTAAGAGCTATGTCCGTAGCGCAAGCGCAGGTAAATGTCACGTACGGTCAATGACACGGTCGAGAGTCGATGCACCGGACCGCCTGTTACTAGCTGCTTTAAGCGCGCAAATTAATTGCAATGTATATAGTAATGTAAGCTATACGTGACTGTGTATAAGAAAATAAGGGCAAAGCTAAATAATAAATAATTTAAAGAGGGATAGAAATGCAGTTTTGAATAGTAAAGAATGAGTTTTTCGGCAACGTTAAGAAATAAGAAAATAGTCTAATTGGAACGGACTCACTCAAATACAGTGCAATACTCCCACAAGTGACGTCGGTTCTTCTATGTAGGCTGTGCGACGACTCCACTCCACGAAGAGATACTCGAAGTCCAACTCGCGACCGTTATTCACGACGTGTCGGTCTTCAAATTTCTGACTTGCATATATACAGCTTGGCTCTGCTTAAGACGGCTTGTATACCGGTGCAGAAGGACCATTGACTAGGCCCGGTTAGGGTGGTGAAATGATATCACGTTGTGGACTGTATGATTATGTATTTTAGAATATATATATTACAAGTGTAAGAAAGTGAGAAGTGCGTGCGGTGCCCGATGCACGGAATGGCCGAGTGAGGTGTCGCGGCAGATCGGGCTCGCTGCCGGCTCGGATGCCCCGCGGCGCCCGCAGACCCCGCAGCCGTCCACTGTCGTCGCTTGCGCGCCAACACTCCTAAATGCCAGCCTCCCAGCTAACTGGGACGTACTTCTTTGAAATTAATTCCAATTATTTCCTCCTTCCTTCGATTATTTAAGGCTATTATGGCCTTTAAAATAAAGCGCACTTCCACATTGAGCGGAGCGGCAAAAATTTATACAATTTTACTACGTGTCTCTATGATTGAGCCAGTTTAGTGATCTACTCTGGATGTAATTTCCGTGGTCGTGGATTTGATCATAAAGATTAAATGTTATAAAATGTATGTTCTAGAAGTTTGGTATTTTCATGTTTATTTTTGAGTACAGGTTATAAGTTCTAATTTGACTGTAATGGTATTTCCGAACCGATACGATATTGAAATCTTCAAGAAAAGAGCTTATTCCTTTTTAAAAGGCCGACAACGTACTTGCAATTCCCCTGGTGTTGCGGGTGCTCATGGGCGGCGGTAATCACTTACCATCAGGTGGGCCGCATTCTCGTTTGTCCCCTGTGTTATAAAAAAAAAATGGTCCTACCTGCCTACAATCTTTAAGTAAAACTATGATATTGTGTGCACAACCCAGTTCGATTTAAATGCTCGAAGTGTAAAGTACCTACATTGAAGAAAAAAGGAGTTCAAAGTCTTCATGTTTTATTGATGGCCTCGGTGGTTTAGCGGTTAGCCTTATGTGCAATGTCGCAGTCGCGTGTTCTATTCCTCGCACGGTATAAACATTTGTATTCATGAGTATTAGTATGATTGTTTGTATCGATCTGGGTGTTTTATATCATGTATGTATTTAAATAAAAAAAACGAATGTATAAATTTATATCAGTTGTCTGTCTAGTTGACAATATCAGACTACAAGCTCTGTTTATATTGGGGCTAAATGGTGCTGTGTGAGTGTCCTGAGATATATTATCAATATTATAATATTATTTTTATTGCTGCCGACCCGTAACACTTTTGACGCGCATCGGTCGATATGAAAGCGCCCTAACACCCCAGTATCTTAGCTGTTATTTACTCAGGCGGGAGTATCGCTGTATTACTTCAATAGTTTACACAGTTCTAAAAGCTCGGCGCGCCTTTCTGAGCGTTACTGTCTTTATGACTGTACTGTGTCAATTTAACTGAGGTTGGTGCAAAGAACAATGCCCCATAACGCTTAGTCTTAATGCCATTAATCTTCATTTTATACGTTTTTTATGCACTCTCTTAGAAACCCTCTGTTTTGTGAACAGAAATTGCCAAGTTTGGCTGTAGTGGCAATAGAATAGAATAGAAAATAATTTATTCAAATAAACTTACATTGAAGCACTTTTGAATAGCCATTAATCAATCAAGTCAAAATCAATTAAGTTAATTAACGACTAGTTTCGTTTAAGAAGCAAATCTGTACTAATAATACTGCAGAATATTTTGATTGTGTGAACGTAAAGGCCTATAAGCGCTATCTAGTAAACTCAAAGTCACTCAAACGACAATGGAAAGAGCTGTGCTTGGAGTTTCTCTGCGCGATCGTATCAGAAATGAGTAGATCCGCAGAAGAACCACAGTGACCGACGTAGTCCGAAGAATTACAAAACTGAAATGGCAATGGCAGAACTCGTAGGACAGATGGCCGTTGGGGCAGTAAAGTCCTCGAGTGGCGACCGTGGACCTGAAGACACAGCGTGGGAAGGTCTCCAGCAAGGTGAACTGATCTAGTCAAATCGCTGGAAGGCGTTGGATGCGAGCATCGTGGAGATCTTTGGGGGAGGCCTTTGGTCGGCAGTGGACGTCGTCCATGCTGGAATGATGATGGTGATGATGAGAATTATAAAATATATCGGATCGGAGCTACCGAAGATATAATTTAATATGTGATTTTTTTTTAAAGTCCTGTTAATTCACGGGTGAAAGAATATGTCGTGTAAAGACAACTAATGGTTTGATGAAATCACGTAAAATATCACATGACACGGCAATGCAGACCTCTTGGCCGATGTCCAGGCGCCGGGCGGCCATGAATCAAACGGTAATAAATACGACCTTTTACATGTAGCTTTTACTCGCATTTCCCGGTGACAATCAGTGATTCTCAAAGTTTCAATATTCCCATCCCTTATTTTAGATTTAGACCCTTATTTTAGACGGTAAAGGGATTGTTAGTGATAGGAAATATCGCTAGTAATGTACCAAGTCAGGTTTTTTATGTATGATAATGGAATGGTGACTTGTACCCATGTTCATGTTATCATCTTCCACAGGTGCCCCGCCAGCGTATACCGTTAGCGCAGGCGAGAGCACCACTCCATATTCGTCCATATAAAAAAAAATATTAATAAGATACTTTCAATTAATATATACTCATAACATAATTATTTACAAGCATAATTTTTGATGATTTACCGTTTCATAGCTGCTATATTTAATTCGTAGCGACGTCACATCCGGAGCACTCCAGCAATTAAGATGTATTAACGGTGCTTCATTCAATAAACTCCATTAGAAGCGTTTAGGAAACGCGTTACATGCAGACCTTAAAAATGATTTCTATTTTACGGGAAACTAGATATGCCCGCGACTTCGCATGAAATAGTGACTTTGACCAAATAAAGATATATTTAATATTATTTCTTTATCATAAATTTAATGAAGAAATAAGTTTCAGGCTACTAAAAAGACGATAGTTCCATATAAAATTTCATCTCCCTTTTCGACCCCTTACAACCCTTTAATCGAATCAAAAAGTAGCCTATGTCCTTCTTCAGGGTCTAGACTATATGTGTACCAAATTTTATTTGAATCGGTTCAGTAGTTTTGGCGTGAAATCGAAACAGACATAGAGTTAGTTTCGCAGTTATATTAATAACTAGTTGTTTCCGCAAACGTGGTTTTGCCATATAAATTTAATTGCCATATAATATAAATATAAATTTACTAATATAATAGCGGTTGGTGGTAGAAGGGGGAAAACTTTGCGTTGTATCTGTTTTTTAAGAAAAAGAAAATGTCAAAAAAAAATATATCTTAGGGGCCGATTCTCAGACCTACTGAATATGCATATAAAATTTCATAAAAATCGGTCGAGCCATATGGTAACTAACATTGTGACACGAGAATTTTATATATAAGATTAGGATAAAGCTATTTATATCTCTCTACGTTTCGACTAGGTTGCATTAATAGAAATAGAAATAAAAATGGAAATAATCTTTATTCAAATAATCTCATTATAAGCACTTTTGAATAGTCATATTTTGATTCTACCACTCATTCGGAATGCAGATTCATTACAAGTAGAATGACCAAGAAACTTGTGTGTAGCTCTTTTGAATAGATTTTTTTTTTTATATAATACTTACAGTATAACAAGTGAGAAGCATGCGATAATCAACATAGAAATCGCTACGCACTCATTATTAGTGTAATCAGATAATATAGTCAGTGCTATGGATATTAAGTTTTTCTATAAAAACATTATTGTCGTTAACGAATTCATCAATTTTATAGTAAGCTTTTTTGCAAAGGAAGTGTTTTATATGACATTTAAATCTTTTTTCAGGCAGATTTACAACAGAATTAATCGTAGCGATGTTTTGTCGGACAATCTAATGACGGCATCCGACCAAATTGCCGGCTATTCGTTGTTACTACAGTCGTATAGTACGTAATAAATGTATGTTTTTGTTATTTTTTTTTAAAGGCACTCATATGTTACCGCCAACGGCAACCGTTGGCCAGCGTGCTCCGCTAAAGCAGATTTCAGCGACTATAACGCCATCTGTTTGATATCGGTTTGACTAAGATAACCACCACAATATATTTTTATATAATAAATGTTATTTATGCTTATAAACTGTAAAGTAAATATATAAATAGTAAAGATTAAATATGACATAAAATGTATGGTCCAGAAGTTTGATATAATCCTGTTTATTATTGAGTACAAGATATAAGTTCTGATTTGACCATAACAGTCCCACCTACCTACTGACTTTAAAAAGAACCACCATATTGTGTGCACAGATCAGTTCGGTTTAGATGCTCGAAGTGAAAAATATATATAAGTGAAAGAAGAAATTAATAGTTTCTCGTTGCTGCTGCCGCCCCGTGACACATATTAAAATGATTTTTTTAAAGGATGATAGGTGTATACGCTGGTGGGGCACTATTGGAGGTTGATAGGATGAGCATGAGGTCAGGTCAGTTAGTCCATATTGAGAAATT